CGCTCAAATGGTCTCTGAGGTATTGGGAAAGTTCCCAATTCCTCGCGGATTATTTGTCCAGAAGGTGTTTTTATTTTCTGGCAGACCGGACAAGTTCGGATGAACTGGGCTATATGCGTATTCATGTTGGACCAAAAATATTTTGCTTCTATGCTTTTTGAGTTTTTCTCATGCCAGCATGGGAGCTAATGAGAGGATTGTTGTGAAAAAATTCTATGATGCGTTTTTGCATATCTTGGTCAGGAATGATTAGTTGTGGGCTTTCTTTGCCTGTAAAATAGAGACAATCATTGAATATAGAGTAATTGTGCAAGGTTCTAGAGAATTCGTCTGATAAATTGTCCATATCTCCTCTGAGAAAATCAATTAATTTCCGGTAGTTAGACTGCATTTGAGATTGTCGAATATCTTCCAAAGATGGTAAATTACTAACTTGTATGGCATTCGTATACGCCACAGGGTACCTACTCAGAAAATCGCACAAGGTGTTGTGTTTACCAGCACGATATACGATTTCAAGGTCGAACGCTTGTATGCTTATTTGATACTTTGCAAGTCGTCCGACTAAATCAGATCTATGCATTAATGACTTAAGCGGAGCATGATCTGTTACTAGTGTAATCTTCGCATTAGCCACATAAGGGTAAAAGTGGTTAAGAGCGAATACAATAGCTAACGCCTCAAGTTCTATGACGGCGTAATTTTTCTCGTGCTTCGTGAGCGGGCGGCTACAGTACGCGATAGGGTGCTGATTTCCTGTTTCTGGATTTTCTTGAAGCAAACACGCCCCTACTCCGATGGTCGAAGCATCGGTATGAATATGATAAGGTCTTCCTAAAACAGGAGAGACCAAGACTGGTGCATTAACAAGTGCTTTTTTAAGCGACAAGAATGCTTTGGTATGTTCTTCTGTCCATGTAAATGGAACTTCTTTTTGTAAGAGATTATTTAATGGGGTGGCAATGAACGAAAATCGTGGAATAAAGCGACGAAAATAAGACGCGGCGCCAAGAAAAGATTTTACACCTTTGGCGTCCGTCGGTTGTGCTATATCTACGATGCTAGCGACTTTTTCAGGGTTCAAACGGGTACCTTTCTTGCTAACCAAAATGCCTAAGTATTGCACTTCTTTCTTGAAAAAGGAGCATTTTTCACTCGTCAGTTTCATGCCAAAGTTTTGAATGCGTACAAATACTTCTTCAAGATCTTGAAGGTGTTCACGTACTGAATGACTGGCAATTATAATGTCGTCGATATAGGCAAAACAACAGGCTTTCAATTCGCGAATTAAAGCGTTAGCGACCCTCTGAAACGTGCCTGGTGCTCCTTTGAGACCTTGGGCCATTACAGTGAATTGAAAAAGTCCTAGGAATGATGAAAATGCTGTACGTTCTTTATGTTTTGGTTCCAAAGGGATTTGAAAAAATCCGCTTTTAAAATCCAGAACGCTGTATAGTTCTTTTCCACTAACAAGATCAATAATATCTTGTATATGTGGAATACAGTAAGTTTCGTTTTCCGTTATTGCATTAATCTGCCTGTAGTCTACCGTAAAACGCCATTGGTCCTTGTTGGACCCTTTCTTAACTAATACAATTGGAGAAGCGAATTTGCTCGTGCTAGGTTCTATTATTCGCGTGCGTAACATTTCCTGTATTTGACGCTGAATTTCTTTGCGCTTTTCCAAAGGTACGCGATAAGGTTTTTGTTGCGGGACCTTTGCGTGTGGCACAAAATTGATCCTATGGCAAATAGGACCTGTATAACGGCCTAAGTTACCATCGGAACCTACGAAACATGACTGATATTTATTTAAAAGTGCATGAAATTGATGTAACTCTTGTTTAGTCAATGATGATTCGTCAATATTTACGCGATTTTGTAAAGAATCACCATTTTCGGACGGGAAAAACGGCATGTTTTTGTTTAAATCTGCTTCGGGGGGTATGTACTCCGGTTGTTTTGGTAAAGTTGGTACATACTCCAAAGAATTTTCTTTTGCATAAACAGAAAAAATCGGAGACCAATACATGTTGGTTCCTACATAATTAGCAGTTGCGATTTGTCGGTTTTTATGCAAGAATATCGAATTATGAGCGTTGTTCAAAATCCGCAAGTACACTCGGTCATTGTTTTTAGTGCAGGATAGCGTTTTTCCTATAGCTATACCGTGTGGGAGAGTAATCATGTGATCATCGCAAATGAAAAATTCCCAAGTACTAGGAAAGTTTATATTCAATGACCCGAGAACAACATTATCGGTATGTGGAAGTAAAGTTGTGTCTGCGGAAAGATGTACAGGTAAGGTAAGGTTTGATGACTCAGGGTTGTTCGGGATAACAAACCAAACCGAGTTTTGATCAAAAGAAACAGTTTTCTTTGAATAATCTATTGAAATATTAGATCCAAGTTTCTTGATTGTATCATTCCCGATCAAAAATTCAGCTACGCAATTATCATCTTTGACTACGAACATAGTCGTTTTCACGCTTTTGTCGCCTACTTGTAAAGTCGGTGATATTTCACCCAAAAACTTGATAGGTGTGCCGTTCGCAGTTATTCCTTCGGTTATAGATGGAAAAGTTATAGTTTCGAGCAAAATTTTCGCTAAATGTTCAGAAACTATCGTGATTGCCGATCCAGTATCAAATAGTGCAATCACGTCTCGATTATTGATTTTTGTGGGAATGTGAATTGTTGATAATGAATCATGTTGTACAAGAGAAATGCTAGGCATGCTAATGTGTGGAGGCGTCTTGGTAGTTTTTGTTTTAGTGGGCTAAGAGTAATTGTTTTCTGAAGGAATTTCTGACAAATTAGGATACTGAACTATTATTTCAACGGATTCGTTTGCGCTAGAATGTTTGACCAAAGGGTTCCTTCTCCTTGCTTGCAAAAATTGCCGAGGAGGTGAAGGTGTGGGGGAAGGTGCAGTAGGTTCATTGTTACCGACGTTGTTATCGTTTCCTGTTCTTTTACAGTTTTTTCTAAAGAAGGATAGTAAAATGTGTAAAAATTTCCACAAAAGATGGAAAATTTCTCGAACGATAGTGAATTGGTAATACAGTATAATGAAAAATACCACAATTATGATACAAATGACTAAATAGACGATAACCCTAACTAAAGTATGTAAACCTAATGCTTCAACAACCTTCTCTTTCCCCATCA